CTCATTTGTTGTATGAATACAACCGCATGTGCGTCCGTGTGACTGCCGCTGTCTGCGTACGTTCAATTCCGAAAGTATGTCTGAGCCTTAATAGTATAATTGCATAGTTTGTCCAGCAGAGGGCACTCAGACTTCATTGTGTACAACACTCTCAGTCTGCTAATGTGAGGTTAGCAGAGTGCATCAGCTGATCAGTCGGTGGGTGTGGAGTCTCGCGGTCTGCTCACAGTAAGCTAAAACAGACAGTTAAAGTAATCTGAAACTGTCAGTGGCTAAGGCAAGCACTTTTAGTGGAAGTAAATTGATGGTGCACAATTGCCTGTTGTTCTCGCACAGTACTGGACCAACAAAAAAATGTTGTTATCATCAGTCACTTAGACACAAGAATATGTGAAAATAGGGTCCTGGTTAAGAATACCAGTTACCCTTTAATGCTTTCAGTCTATTTAAAAGGACTGCAGCTTTCCAAATAAACATACAGTTAAAAAAAACATAGATCTCAATCTAAAATATAGTCCAGATTTTGCTCATGTACGCTGCACTGTGGGTCAAGAGGTTGTAATGTGTATTTAGAAGAGATAAAAACAGAGAGTAAGTCCAGTAGGGAGAGGCAGAGAGAGAGTATGTCTTCCTTATTTAGCAATGCCTTGGCCAGCTATGGGGAAACTGGCAGAGAGCCTGGGAAATGATAACACACACACACACACACACACACAGAGAAACATTCGCAAAATATGTGCATGAAAATATTTTGGCAAATGAATCATGCTCACAGGAAAGTGAGTTGCATGTAGATTGACACGTAGACACACACTGTCCCTTTTCCTCTCCGAGTCACCTTCTCTGCTATGATCTGTCCTGTTTTCACACTTTGAGCAATTACTCTGAACTGCTGGTTTTAAGTGTTGAACTTGCAGCCTGTTTGTGATTCATCTCAGTGTCCAGCATGTGGCGCTGTTGTGTTTCCACACAGTGACTTCACAGGTCATGTGGAATAAAGCTCCATCAGTTGCTGAAATACAGACATCATCCCAATTAAAGAACAAACCCTAACCAGCCTAAAGCCAGTCAGATAATGATGTGAAGCCGGCTGTAAGAGTGTAATTTCTGCTTTATTAGACAATATCCTGTGAGAGGTTGGAGAAATTAGAGTGAGGAATTATTGCACAAAGCAACAGTGGTCATTAGGTGCACGTACACTTACAATATTGATAGCAGTGTGTCGAGGCCGCTAGAGCCCAATGACGTCACGTGTGCTTGAAACACTTCAGGGTAGAACTACGTATTTGAGGCTGAAGAAGCTAATCAAACATATTGCTCTCATTTTGCTGCTGCCAGTATCATAATCTAGAGCATTAATTAAGTATATTTTTCACTGCAAGGATTTAATATTCTCATGGAAACATAGGCGCGCCGAGAGATTGATTCCAGTCAAATGCCATCTGCTGTTTTCCCAGAATACATGTTCTAAAACTGTTTTCTAGAAACCACATTTGACTCCCAGCCAGATTTCTGAGAAACACTGACTGCCCTCAGAGTATCTAAACCACGAGCTCAGGACCTAAGAACAATTTATTTTACATATATTGTCATTAGAATTCTCTAAGGAGGCCGGGATGTTGAGCAGAGTTTTGGTCCCTGGTGGAAAAGGCTTTCTACCCAGCGTTGTCGCTGTGTTACATCTTGATGACCTGAATGTGTTATGACATTGCGACTTGCTGAGCTGAGATGGAAACAACTCAACTCTGGTCGTGTTTACGCTACAGAGAGGTTGGTGGGAGTGTTAAGGGGGATGCTGTGCTCCTAGTTGTCTGTCTGGTCAGAGAGAGCACGCAGTGAGAAACCTTATTTGGCGAGAGAGGACAGTCAGCAAGTCTGGGCACAAACCTTAAAGGCAGACACGCTCACATCACTCACTTTAGCAGTTTTCCTCAGTGTGATTTACATCTTTTTTATCCACATCACCAGCATCCCTGTGCAGATGGTTAATGAGACTATTTTCATAATTGCCATGGAAACTGATTTTATATGGTTTAGTGTGGAGTACTCAAGAAGCGCTCCTCTGAGCCTTTAAGCTAAATCTGATAAACTCACCTCCTAACTGTGAGAAACGTGAAGAAGGTGGAACTCAGCTGAACTGTGATATTGTGTAGATATGCCAGTTTCACTTGAAAGGTTAAATGCAATTTTTTCCCACATTCATCTGTTTCTACTTGAGTGGTGATCACTGGGGTGTCCTCTTTACCACTGCTCTCTATTTTTGATACATCCTTTCCTCATGACCAACCTTTCTCACAAAATCTCATGGAAATAAATACCCTTTATAGGAGTGAGTGAACAAAGACAGAGTGAATAAGACAGTATACCATATGGACTCCTCTTTAGTGGTGTAGGGTCAACTGAAGAGATACTTTAAATATGTAGGGGAGAGCGGGGTCAGTTTGGACAGTTTTGAAATGACATGAAATAACCCTCCACCACTCACAGACTACTTGAACAATGCATAAAAAATGCAACACCGAACAGATACAGGTGTCTGTTTAATGTACAAGAAGTGCATCTTCCCAAAATTAGGCCTTCCCTGGTTGGTTGGGACACCTTGTTCTAGACTTTAAGAAATCTAATTTAAAAAAGTATTGCTAAAATTGCAGCCTGAACTTGAACACTTGACACACTAAACTGACGTCGGAGAGCTGTTGGCAACAAAGGCCCCCTGCTCTCATTGCCGTGTCTCGGCCAACTAGCGCGTGTGTTCTATGCCAGTGTGAGAGGACGTACTCCTCCATATCAGCAGATGGCAGTCATCTGTAATTGTCATTCAAAAAGGGAAACCAGAAGACCATCTTGATGCTAATTAGCCAATTAGCATATTAACAACACAATCCAATGTTGAAAGAACAAACCATATTTATTGTGTGCCTGTGAACAATAATGCAAACCATCACAAAACATTTCTGTTTTTTATAATAATAATCTTACCTCACACAACAAGTTTGTTGTGACCTCACTCCCTCTCAACTTCAGCTCTTTGTTTACATTTCTTAAGCTTGCGCCAATTCAACATGCTAAATTGGAGGAAAAGAGGCTAACTAGCACCAATGAAGGCCAACTGTATGGGACACACCGCATCAATGAGGACGGCAAACACTCACCAATGGCCCAATTTTGACCAACTGCCAACTGTCAGCTTGGTGTGTCAGGGCCTTTATATTTACAACATGACTTGTTCCCACATTTTTTTTGAGAAAAAGTAAACATTTCCAAAATGATTATATTTTCATAGATTAATTAAAACATGGAATTTGGCTGTCTTCCATGTAGGAATGTCAGCTTTAGTTAATATTGCTTTCAGTAACCCAACACACAAAAAGAAAATGCAAAATGACGTGAAATACAAGAGGCAGTTCCTTTTAATACCACACTAGTACCCCATTTCAAAGCACTATACATTTTAGCTTATGTTTGCTCCCATCAGAACCCTCTGGCGTGCAGTGCAGCAAAGTGAAAAGTAGAAAAATAAACTTTTTGACTGACTGCATATCTGGCCAAAAATATTCTCTGCAGTTAACAGTTGACTGTTGACATCCCTACTTACAAGTCTTCATTTTAGTGGCACCTATCAGCTCAGTGTGGTTACCACAGGCTACATGTAACCCATTCTCGGAACCCATCGGCTGTATTCGGCCTCTGACTTCCGGCAGACGGCGATACAGCCTCTGGGGGCAGACCCCCGATTTTTTGGCATTCCGGTCTGATTTGGACGGAGGAAGCGAATTTCCGTTTCCGACTTCCGTTTATATATAAGTAAATATGCTGAACCATTGCGATGGATTCAGAGTTTGCAGTGACGCCAATTATGTTCCGCCTCATTAGTTCACCGCACGGACCGTTTAACCTGGCAACAACTGCAGCCGGCTCAGACGTGATTGGTCAATATCACGAGGACTACAAACAGCCTACAACTGGAAACCAGGGCTCTTCCACTCTTCTTCTGGAGGCAAGATCTCCGGGGTTTGCATACAGACTCTACATTCACTGAATGTAGAGTCTGTATATAGAGACTACATGTAACCAAGAGGTTTATGTAAACTATTGGATTTGTTTCATTTTGGTAAAAAAGTCAGTAACAACAACTTGAGTGTTTTAAAAAAAGTTGAACTTGGCACATTTAAAATATTGGCAAGGGTTGAAATGTAGGCCTTAAAGTTTAAAGTTTTTTAACATGGCCTAATAATTCAGTTTAGTAGCCTAAATCTCTTTATAGGCTGAACAAGCTAAACTAAGAAATCACCAAAGTTCTTACAGTTCATCCTGAGGTGGACATGAATGTCTGAACCAAATGTCAGTGGTTATTGAGACACAGATGTCAACATCATGGTGATGCTAGATTAGAAATAAAGGAATCACCAAAGTTATTATGACTTTTAGCTTCAACCAGCAGCTCTATAGTTTGCTCTGCCGGTCTGTTGGTTGGTTGATCGGTCCACGTAACTTTCACTATCCTTTGGCAGCCACAGTTTTTCTCTAGGAGGCTGAAGTTGGCATGGAGGTCAAGTGTATATGTGTTTGTGTTCATACTAATTGGCTAAAAGAGGACATGGCAATAGAGGGGTGCATGTGTGTACATGGTTGCAGCTATTGTGAATTTGTGCTTTGCTTTGGGGACCACAGCAGTCCATTCAGTAGTTGTTAAGATATTTCAATGTTAAACCAAACTGGTGGACAGACTGATTGACATTTTCTATCCCTCCTTTTTAACATGGCAAAAAAAGATATTTAAATAGATGAGTGCGTCAATGATGTTGTGAAGCAATTAAATGCTCTCCATACTCACTGACACACAGTCTGTATATTTTGAATGAGAAATTAATTAAAGGGACATACTGCCAAAAAGTGAATTCAGAGCAAATTTTGTAGCAAAATGAAACATGGTAAATGTCAAAGATACCACAGCTTTGGCAGCTTTGATGTCATGGGCTGTAGTGAGCTCAGTAGCCACATTCAGAAGGGAATGTTTATTCATGAGTCTGATGTGAATTGACACATCATATATTTACAAAATTTGCACATATTAATCCCACAAAGATACGGGCGAGTCCAAGACTTTGCTTTGAAAAACAGTGACTCCACAATTTCTCAGTTTCACAAGGTGAACAGTCTGCTCATGAATCCCTCAAAATGCTGATTTACGTTAAATTAAAAATGCACAATTCAGTCACAAGCACTGAGCCATTTGAACCAAAACTTTTTTAATTGTTTTTTTTTTCATCAGTCACCTCAAACAACTTAAAATAAAACCAATGTTGCAAAGTCACAGAATGAAGCTACAATCTTAAAATAGCAAAAGTTAGCCTGTGTTTGTGTTAATCTATACAGTGACTCAACACCAAAGCGTTGCATGCAAAAAACTGTACATGGCAGTATGTTTATCCTACAATCAAAAAGCTAGCACGACACCACCATCATTATAATAAAGTGTCCAAATAACAGTTATTTCAGATCTATAAATTGCACCCAAACCTCAACAAAGCAAAAAACTCCAGCATCACTGCTACAGAAACACTTCTGGGAGAACACTTTTCATTGGTAAGGGATAAAATATTGTCACAGTTACAGACATCATCCTCATCATCTGTCTCACACACACACAGTGTACAACACATACACAGTCAAAAACAATGTTGTCATCGAAAATACAGCAATACTCTTAAAAAAGGCATTTGGCAAAGATAATGAGGATAAATAAAACCTACAGGGATATTTAAAACAAAACAGAGAAACAGAACAGGTAGAAAATCAAATGAACATTGTGAGTTATGCACATGGAGTTTGATTTCTGTAGAGGCACAACCACTATCATGATTTCACCATAATTTATCTCCACTTTTCTCCAGAAATGCTGCATGGCATTTGCTCAGTCTATCCCTTATTACACAAGAGGTAAAAATCTGCATTTCTGTTTTTTAAGGTGTACTGTATGTATTTTGTCTAACAGTGCCATTTTGGGCCCGTTCCATTTGTTCAGCAGTAACTGAATTTATCACCCACCACTTCCTGCAAACACACCTGCAGTGATTTCGAAGTGCACCACTTTCTATCAGTGTTGCATCTGAGGCTAAGCTGGTTTAATTCTCTTTGTTTAAAGCTCTTTGACTTTTGAAACTCTTGGAAAACTTTCAGGGAAGTGAGCCAGTAGTACAGCGCGTGAGAAAGCCAGTGCGGCATCATGGGAAAGGCTTTGTTTGGATCGACAGTTCCAAGGCAAGCTGTGATAAATTATACAACCTTTCGATTGAGTCTTGTACGCGATAGAATTGTTCATATTTACTTACAACCTGCACACCTTCCCACATAGTTATATTCTCCAGTCCCCACTTCCAATATTGCACACTACCAATCACACACAAACACCCACATGTTAATATATACACAATGTACACAAAAAACAGTGAATTCAACAACCTAAAATCTTTATGGTTTTTATATTCATCTAGTCTCTTATGTGAATGATGCATGATCCTTACTGAACAAGTCAAAAAAGGCTGTTCAAAAAAAGTCACAAACCTAAATGACATCATTGTAACTGTGTCTTTGTCATGATGTGACAGACAGGGTGCTAACTATGGTTTTCCAGAGTGGCATATTGTTAATTAGATACCATGTTCTAATAAGGTTTAATATCCCTCTGCTGATACTGTTTTACATGTTTAAGAGGTATGAAAATTCAAATCAAACAATTATCAGGAGGCATGAGTCATTTTTCCACACAGCAGTGCAATTTTAGGATAACACACATCTTGTGACCAGCAGTGAGACTCATTGTGTTAAAGATGTGTTTGCTATTACACTAAAACATTGCCTGGAAAGTAAAATTCTGTAGCTGCAATAACTATAGGCTGATGGCAAATTATTCCTCCAACATAATCAAGTTAGCATTCAAACTCACTAACCTGAATATTAGGTATCAGAGCCATTTATAGTTTGATCCAGGCCAGTCGCAAGAATAAAATCTCGGTATTGTACATTTCTGCAAACCACAGATATGTTAGATGTGTACTTTTCATACGTATCATATCAACATTTCAAAAGTGATGTAGTTCAGATTATATGTATATGGCTGAGTTTCTCATCAGGAGGAGGAGGAGCAGGAGGTGGTGGATGGAGCAACACCTGGGCGAGACAGCTGTCAAGCTGCAGACCACTGTTCAAGACCAACAAACAAAACCAGCTATTTTAGAATGACATGTAGCGACATTTCCAGCTGTGTTTGTTGCGACAAAACTGGGTATTTTTTAAGAACACATCAGAACATTTCCAGCTGTGTTTGTTGGAAAGCTGGATATTTTTTAAACGACATGTTGGGACATTTTCCAGGCGTGTTTTTTGCGACAAAAGTGGGTATTTTTCTTCGACGCGTTGGGATATTTCCAGCTGTGTTTGTCGTGACAAAGCTGGAGATCTTTTAAACGACACATCAGGACATTTTCAGCTGTGTTTGTTGCGACAAAACTTGAGATCTTTTAAAAGATACGTTTGGATATTTCCAGCCATGTTTTTTGCAACAAAAGTGGGTATTTTTCTTCGACACGTTGGGATATTTCCAGCTGTGTTTGTTGCGACAAAGCTTGAGATCTTTTAAACGACACGTTTGGATATTTCCAGTTGTGTTTGTCGCGACAAAACGGGCTATTTTAAAATGATACACTGGGACATTTCTAGCGTGTTTAATGCAACAAAACCAACTATTTTTTAACAACACATCAGGACATTTCCAGCTGTGTTTGTTGGAAAGCTGGATATTTTTTGAATGACACTTGCCTGGACATTTTTCCAGGCATGTTTGATGCTACAAAAGTGGGTATTTTTCAACGACATGTTGGGATATTTAGGGACCTCGGCCGAAGGACGATGTCCCTCTTGTTCTAGCTGTGTTTGTCGCGACAGAACTGGGTATTTTTTTAACAACACATCGAGACATTTTCTGCTGTGTCTGTTGCGACAAAGCTGGATATTTTTTTCAATGACACATTGGGACATTTTCCAGGCATGTTTAATGCGACAAAAGTGGGTATTTTTTAACACCATGTTGGGATATTTCCAGCTGTGTTTGTCGCGACAAAACCGGGTATTTTTTTAAATGGCATGTCAGTATATTTCCAGGCGTATTTGTTGTAGTTTAAGTGGATATTTTTTTTTAGTTAGTACATTTTCCAGGCATGTTTGATGCGACAAAAATGAACGACACATTTCCAGCAGTGTTTGTGATGACCAAACTGGACATTTTAAGCAAAAACACAATTAATTGCTAACCCTAACAAAGTGTTTTTTGTACTTCAACCTAACCACACAGTAAGCGCATTATTGTCACAGCATATAATTTGAAAACTGAAACATAAAGTTTCAACATATCTGCTACATATGAAAAATACAAATTTGGTCTATTTAGGCTGCAAATTCTTCTCAGCTCTCCCTTTGCATTGTCTGTGCAGCTGCTGCCCTGCATCGGTACTGCTGCTCCCTCTTTCAGCCCCACCTCCACCCCAACATCCACCTGCAGGCTCCGGCTAAAGGGGAAAGTATTTAATCATCACTTTCCAATATCTCATGTAAACATCTGCAGGGAGTGATGAGGCAGGAGTCTAGACGCCAAACTCTTACTATGTTCTGCTGTTGAAATTAACATTTAAACGTGAGTTATCTGACTGAACTGTGGTTAGCAGAAATGTACAATGCAAACTTTTTTTCTGTCAACTGGGTTGTTGGATGACATGTTCCAGTGGAAGACATGTTTGCTCTACATTCATCACTTTAGTAATTTTTGATTTTGTGCTCAGCGATTGTCAGATTAAGTGGCAAATAAGTATGATTTTGTACTGGCTGTAAACACAATATTACTGAACAGTTAGAGATGGAACCACACAATGGAAATGCCACTAAATCCCACTGGAGGCTAATGCTAAAGTCAGTCTTTGACACAGGCCATGGGACGATAAACCCAGTGACACCTAACACTGAAATTAACTTCTTTAAGCAGATTGGCTGCTGCACAGGGCAGCCAGTTGAGAGGCAGTGAAAACTCTGGTTACGCTGGTTCTGGAAAAACTGTTATGCGCCACATAACGTCAGTGTTTTTGTTTGATTTTTTTCCTTCATTTTTTCATCTGTCAAAATTCACAAGCCAAAAATACGGAAAAAAAGCTTGCAACTCAGCATCTAAATTTCCTCAGTCATGCCAACACATTGTCCTTCCTTCATTTCCTTCATCCTGTCATGTAGATAACATGTAGTCTGCTCTACAAGTTTTTACATATTAACTTTTTTTTTCAAATACATGAAATAATATCAAAAGACAGAATTCAAAAATCACTGTTACTCACTCAACAAAATACAAACACATTGTTTCCTTGTGACTGTACAGTTTTAGTCTCTCTTTCCTTGTCTTGTTCCTTTTAAATTAAATGTAGAAGTGGGCTCAGCCAATCAGCAGCGTGCAATCAGAAGCAGTCAGCTGATTCTTTCCTTCCTTCGTTTCCCATGTGCCAAATTTATTTTCACGTCTCTGCTTCTCTCTGTGGGCCGGCATTTGAAATATAGGCAACGGCAGGTCATCACAAAGCTAAAGGTCACCATCAGGCATCAGAGAGGGTAAAGAGGTCAAACTGTCCGTGTGATCCATCAAACAGGAGAGCGACCTCTCTCAGACGTCCTGAGGAAGCCCCTGGTCTCTGTAGCCTGGGGAAGAGAAGAGAGAGAGACTTCTGAATGCTTGAAATAGAAATAATTGTGAAACCTATTATCTGGCTTTTATGGCCCCAGTTAAGGGGGTTTAAAGTGCTACATGTAATTACTAAACATTTATTTTGAACTTTTGACAATAATTGCCTTTCTCCATTTCATTTAATTGAGAGAAATGAAAGCAACAACCAAAAAGGAGCTCAGCTGGACCATTAAGACCTAATGATTTATCAAGTATCGTCTGGCAAGCCATTAACCCAGCTTCTCCAATACCAGGGAAATAATACCAGCCTGCCTTTTATTATGCTTTTAAATAGACTGAAAACTTTGAGCCTGAGTCTTAGCTAATTTGATCAGAAGTGGACAGCTCTACACCCACATCATTTCTGTTCCCAAGACCAATTGCATTTTTAAAGGTACCCTGTTGAGTTTTTGACTACTAGTTGTACAATGGAGCAATGTTTTTTAAGACTGGATCCCTGTTTTGTTAGTATCACATTCACTCGCATGAGGGCATGCATGCTTTCATGCTTAGTGATACACCATCCCGCTGATTGTTTCACACTGTGCCACTGAATAACAGTTGTTCAGTTGTTGGCGGACGCACACCAAGAAACTGAGAGATGTGGCAACAAAGGGGGGAAGAAGAATAATGCTACCAAGCAAACATGTAACAGGTAAACTCTTTAAGTTTGAAATTGTTCCAGAATCAGTTTTTGCAAACATTTTGTGAGGAGGAAATTTTATTGAACATGTCTTTTAGGCCTCTTTATTATACATGTTTTAAAAACAACCAAACATTACTTTATTTACAAAAAATCCTCAGGGCAGCTTTAAATTAGTTTTGGCTGTTCAGGAAACATAACATTTCTTATCAATAGTTGTTGTTGTTGTTATCATTAGTATTATTATTATCTGTTTGAATACTTGCTTAAAAATTTAAATCAGCAGCTTTCAACTGGTCACATCACATCACATGGTCTTCATCATTAGACAGAGCAATTAAACAAATATCAACTGCTGATCAAGACTGTCGTTGTCTGCGGAAATTAGATGCTAATATACTACATACTTAGGCCGCAATCACACCAGGATAGTCTGGGGGACTCGGTTTGATTGGGTGGAGAATGCCGAAAAAATTTCACACCTTCATTTGATTCGGTTCACTTTCACACTGCACTTTTTAAAGCTGACCAAACCACCTGGACAGTGTCATGCAGTTACAACAGCTGCTATTTTGGGGGCGGTATTGCCCGAAACGACCACTGACCAGGAAGGAAAAAAGCATGAGGAAGAAGAAAACCCGGCTCATCGATTGGCCAGTACCGAAAGCGAAAATCCATTCCCTTAAGCCGTCACCACAAAAACAATGGAGCAACACCAAATTTATATCAGTGACGGCCTGCACCTCCTCACTACTCCACGTCTGCTCAGGAGACATTTTCTAACTTTTTCTTTTTTTACCTCTGCTTCTCCCAGTTTGCGCTGTTGGCTTTTCTTTTTTTTTTCTGCCCAAAATGCACTGCGCTCTACATCACTCTTTGGTTCATTTTCTCTCTATGGTTTGTTGGATAGTCCGTTTGCATTTCCCACTGTAAGCGAACCGCACCAGAGTTCATTTGCAAGTGAACCGAGACCCCCAGTTTTCAAGCGGACCAGGGTTTGCTCGTTTGGTCTGCACCAGAGTTTGAATGAGCATTCACACGACTCCAAACGAACTGTACTATCCGGGGAAGCTGACCAGGGTTCATTTAAAGCGGACCAAACAGAGCCAGTTTGAATGCGTCCTTAATTTGTATGTTCTGTATCCTCCCGAGACCAGAACTTTTGTTTGGTAAGCATTTTTAATTTCTCCTAGCTATTTGGGATCAGTAGGACCTGATGAAGATAAAAAACTAAACATTGTCAATAGAGATGTACCGATACCGATACCAGTATCAGAAATGCCTCAGATACTATCTAAAATGCGGTATCGGGTATTGGCGAGTACAGCCTATGACCAATCCGATACCATGTAATGCCTCACGTCATTAAGCATACGCACGCTACAGGCAAACTAAACGGAAATGGAGCGGAGTTTAAAAAGCATTCTACCGTAGCCTTTAAAATGTCTTTTTTACCAAACTGTGTGGCTGCACTGAATAATAATAATTAAAAAAAAGTTTTATGGCATTCATTCTACTATTATGTATTTATTTCTTAATATTTTACATAGAGTTTAGGAGTTGAGACATACAACAATTCATATCCCATCCATTTTTTTTAATGTGCTGGTATCGGAACGGTTCTCGGTATCGGCAGATACCTAAGGTTCAGGGGTCGGTATCGGGAAGGAAAAAGTGGTATCGGTACATCTCTAATTGTCAATAATAATTAAGTCCCAATGTCCTCAAACGAGAATGACAATAAAGTCCCAATGTCCTCAAAGAAGAACTTCCTAATTAACAGTGTCTTATCTTATTACTGTTGCTAACATTGGTCAAATTTGTTGCCATATCAAACTACAAGCATCAGGTTTTGGACCTTGTCTACCTTTGTGTCAGGATCGGCTGCAGACTGACTTGGCAGAGATGGCTGCCATCTTGTTTTTACATGGATTAGTGTATTGTGCTTTTATCGCCACTAGATGGCACAAAAAAGTGTCCACAAACGAGGACAACATGTCTAAGTTAAGCAGAATGTAGTATAAGGTCAGGAAAACCCAAAATGTGGATTCATAAGGACAGAGGGTCTCAGGAGGGTATACTGCCTACTCAGTGATGCCGTTGCCAATATTCCATTACCAACAAAACACGTATTGGTTATCTAAAAAGTACTGTCTTGCAGGAAAAAAATATCAAAACTTAATTTACCTTTCACTAAGCCCCGCCCCTTTGTGATGGTTTGTCAAGCTGTCGGTGCGAGCATGGAGTGCACACTCTAACCAACTACACTCCTTAAAAAAAATTACCAAATATTTGCGCATCTTACGTACATAAAATCCACATACTCTGTAGAGTAGGCGCTATACATACTAGGGATGGGCAGCACAAGCAAAAACACTATTCGAAAATCATGGCAACTATTCGACAATTTTTCGAATAATTGCTTGTGAAGCAAACACACATGAGAAGTCTTTAAAGTGCTAATGTGTCATGAGAGCCACCTCCATGACAATTCAGCAACACTGTCCACTGACAAAAACTATTTCAAAGGTCAAGAATGAACTTTAATGCTTAAGCTCCTGAGATTTTTGTGAAGATACCAAACATAATTAAATGATGACCAAAATCAAAGATCATGAGAAAGTTCTGAATCAATGTTTTTGTAAGTATTTTCAAGCCTGGGAAATGTGATTTATTTGTTTTGGCTTATTTGTTAGCGATGTTAAATTTAGTAAAGCTGACTCTTCGTATTTTCTGAGACGTGCTTCTGTACACATAACTCTATGATTTTATCATCTCGCTGCGGGATTGTTTGTGAGCATGGGCAAATTATGAGATAATGGACCCCTGGGAACCGATATCAGTATGCAAAGGACCACACCACCTCTCCATCATAACAGCAAGTCACACAGACATTGTGGTGGTTTTGTGTCTCTTTGTAGTCATTACGCATCTGTTTGTCGTTTTGTGTCTCCTCGTTTCTCCAGGTGGTTTTGTGTCTTTTTGTAGTAGTTTTGGTTTCTTTCAGGAAATTTTTGTCTTACTGAGGTAGTTTTGTGTCTCTTTGAGGTAATTTTGTCTTTTTTGTGGTCGGTTTGTGTTTCTCTAGTCAGTTTGTGTCTCCTCTCGGTTGAATTGTTTCTTTCTGTAATAGTGTGGGTCTTTGAGGTATTTTTTTTGTCTTACTGAGGTACTTTTGTGTCTCTTTGAGGTAATTTTGGCTTTTTTGGAGTCAATTTGTGTCTCTTTGTGTCTCATTGTGGTTGTTTTGTACCTCTTTGTGGTAGTGTGGGTCTCTTTAAAGGTATATTTCTGTCTAATTGAGGTACCTTTGTGTCTCTGAGGTAATTTTGTCTTTTTGGGGTTGTTTTATGTCTCTTTGTAGTCAATTTGTGTCTTTTGGTTGTAGTTTGGGTCTCTAAGGTAATTTTCTGTCTTATTGAGGGACTTTTATGTCTCTTCGAGTTTTTTTGTTTGCTTGTTTGTTTTGGTGTCTTTGGAATCAATTTGTGTCTCTTTGTGTCTCCTCGTTGGTTGTTTTGTCTCCTTTTGAAGTAGTTTAGGTCTTTTTAAGGTCATTTTCTATCTTATTGAGGTACTTTTGTGTTTCTTTGAGATAATTTTGTCTTTTTTTGTCATCATATGTCTCTGTAGTCAATTTGTGTCTCTTTGTGTCTCTTTGTGTCTCCTCATGGTTGTTTTGTTTCCTTTTGAAGTAGTTTAGGTCTTTTTAAGGTAATTTTCTGTCTTATTTAGGTACTTTTGTGTTTCTTTAGAGGTAATTTTGTCTTTTTTTGGTTGTTTTATGTCTCTTTGTGTCTCCTCGTGGTTCTTCTGTTTCTTTTTGTTGTAGTTTGGGTCTCTTTGAGATAAATATCTGTTATTGAGGTACTTTTGAGTCTCTTTGAGGTCATTTTGTGTCTTTTTTTGGTAGCCTTGTGTTGCTTTGTAGTCATTTTGTGTCTCCTTGTGGTTGTTATGCCAATTATTGTATTTATTTTGTTCTCCTTGCAGTTCTTTGCGTCTCTTTTGTGGTCATTTTGTGTCTCCTTGTAGTAGTCTTGTGTCTCTTCATGGTTGTTTTGCTGTTTTTTGTAGTTATTTTGTGTCTCTTTGCAGTACCTTTGCATCTCTTAATGTCTTTTTGAGTCTCTTCCTAGTTAATTTGAGTGACATTTTGCAAATGAAGGCCACGGGGCCCCCTGACACTTTGGGCTCCGGGGTCTGTGCCTGGTAGTTGAGTAATCCATTGAGTAATCCATGCATGTTGGTGTGTAAGGAAAAATAGAAACACTTACCATCAGAAACTTCAGTTCGTGAGGAAGGAGAACAGAGGGAGGAGAGACGAGACAAGAGAGACAGTTAGTGAGCTGTTTAATACTTTTCAAGTATTATCACACAGAAGTTGACTCTATTGAAGCAACACAAAAGAGGCTTTTTGGACAAAATGAGAAATCCCTGCAGAGCAGTCTTGTTACTTTCAAGAGAAACAGAAAACCTTTGAACAGGAGCTGACCTCGCTTTAACTCAGATACATTACATGATCAAATGAACACACATACAGTAACATAACCCTGGTTTACTGGATCGATGAGCAGAAATATGGAGACGGGGACGCAAAAACAAAAAAACTGAGGCGAGAGGGACACGGGGAGGTGGGCAGAGAGTGGGAGGAATAATGTGAGAAAGAGAAGAAGAGGGAGCAAGATCAAATAGGAACAATCATTAGATAGAGAGAGGCAGAAGTAAGGCGATCAGTGGGAGGAAGATAATACCATGATCATTATATAGATAGGAGCAAGAGAAGAGAGGGAGTGGGGTTCAAGAAAGACAGAGTGGAGATGGAGGTATGGAAAGAGTGGTGATCAGACAGGCTCATCAGAGAGCGAAGAAGAAGCAAATAAATATGCCGCATTATCAGAGTGATTCATTGCACAGAGGAGAAAAGAGGGAATGGCTGAATAAGAGCATCCCAAAACTACAAAAACGTGTATTGTGGTGATGAATAGTTGAATAATAATTGATCTTAGAGGCAAACAACATGCATGAATTGAGCCAGGCCTTCAGTGCTAACTGGGAAATCGTTTTCATATTCACTATAAATATTCAATATGCGGCTAGCTGCGAGCGCTAACAGGGGTATGGATTTTGAGCAGCAACAATTGAATAAGGAGACGTGTGCCTGGGGGCCTGAAAAACAGTGGGGCGCAGTGAACAAAAACGCACCGTGGGGGGGCTGCTCACTCCCACACACACAATTACTGTACCTCACACACATAAACACACAGAATCTCGCAGGCATGTATGTACCAACACGCATTGGGTTGCACGAGCAGGTAGCAATTACCTCACAAATGCACACTCGTACACACAAAGGGGAGAGCGCTGTGGTAATTCAAAGGCTGCTTCGGCGCAGAGGGAGAATGGTGACTCCTGTGTGTGTGTGTGTGTGTGTGTGTGTGTGTGTGCACTTGTTCATGCATCAATGCCTGAGGAGAACACACTACACCCAACCTCTCCCATCTCTGCTCTTTGTATCTACCTGTTTTTTCTGTCTTTATTTCTTAAATTCTTGCTTTCCTTTTTCTTTCTTTCTTTCTTTCTTTCTTTCTTTCTGTCTGACATTTCAGCGAGAAAAATATAAAACCATTAATGTCGTGCAGAGGTGCTACGACAAGGCTGGCATTATATTATTTTTTCGTCTCGAGTGTTTTCAAGGACAGACTGTCCCAAAATGAATGGTGTCTGGCTTTTAGCTCGGTCACTGAGTGTGACCATTTATAAAGGATTCTAAACATTTTAGATATTTGGACAACACATTATATAAACTAGTTTTAAATGAGGGAGAAATAAAAGTACTCATAGTCTCTCATTGCTTTCTAACCTGTCTGTGGCACTCAGACTCAAGCCTGTTGGTTCCCACCGAAGACATAAATCTTTAAAGTACCTCTCTGGGCATTGATTGCACTCCCAAAACCTCATCTCTGTTCAGCAGAATTACATATTTAGAAGTGCTTTTACATGAAAAAAATCCCTTCATGCCTTAAAATGTCTCTACTCTTGTAAATGGTAATATAAAACATGACCCTTCGGCTTGACTATGTTATCAAACAGCTGATAATTGGTTTCTAATGTCAGATAAACCTTGTTCTGGATCACCGGCTCTGACAGCCATTGGGAGACGCTTGCATTCAGAAAGCCCTGTTTCGGTTAGGTTAAGGAAAAAAATACTGGACATTTTCCGGAACCTCACCCATTGGTTTGTGGACTGCCATTTTGAAGCCTCGATTTTGGCATTTCATCTGTTGCCATCTGTTTTTTTTTTTTTTTTTGTAGCCAGAAGTGACCAACTTTGGACGAGAGGTTGGAGTGTTGGAGGAGTGAGGGTTGGATCTGACTCACAGACTGTAGCGACGCCCTGCAGACAGCCTGTCACTGAGAGCATTCCCACCATGAGCTGACCTCGCTTTAAGTCAGATATATTACATGATCAAATGAACACACAGTAACATAACCCTGGTTTACTGAACCAATGAGCAGAAATATCGAGACAGGGCCTCGAGTTGTGCATTTCGGCCCCGCCCTTAATTATGCCCTGCACAGTTGTCATGATTGTTGAAATTAGCTAAAGAGACCAAAACCATTTTTTGTACCAGGCTGTAAAGATGTTTATTTCTGTTGGGCATTTGAACATGGGGTTCTATGGGGATTGACTCTGTTTTGGAGCCAGCCTCAAGGGGTCATTTGATTAACTGTTTTTGGCATTTCCGCATTAGATTTCTACCAGAAATCAGCTTCCTGCCTGAGGGTTAACTTCTCCCATGTGTGCTCTGATAAGTTGAGGTTAAGAAGAATAATGTTTATCAATGACCTTTTTCTAAGACTAAGATAAGATGTTGATGAGCTAAAAATAGATTTTTAAAAGTATGCCAGGATGAATGTTTGTTTTTCATTGGCGTGACGAGACATGACTAGTGGTGGGCTATCAGACCGTATGCAGTGTGAGATTGGAGCACCAACAGGTTGGCAAAAGCCAGTTAATAGTTGGTGCCAGGATGTTTCCCCTGCAAAGCATTTACACTGAAGCAGTATCAGCTGTCGTGAGTTTTGAGCTGTAATTTGACAGAAAATAAGCAGTCGTGTGTGTCCGACTGTGGATGGTGGGACTGTTGAATGGATTTTGTTGGTCTGTTTGTTGGTTGCAGCGGAGGCTGTTAGCCACTAGCTCTGCTTGTTAGCCGCTGAACCGCAGCAGCATCATACAGGCAGAGCGAGCATCGGTTGATTCCTGCAGGACTCCACTCAGATCCAGGCTGTCTCGAGAAAGTTTATGGTTTGTTTGCTGTTTGACAGGCAGGTAGTAGGCTCGGTTATCTGTGAGTGAAGCTGTGTTGTAAACAGTCTGAACCCAGCAGAGTTTTCTCTGTAAGAGCTGAAAATCCAGTTTTAATCACTGACTGAGACAACACGAGTTTAAACCTCCAGACTAACATGCTGCACATTATAAAGAACTCTGACAAAGTTATTTTTCTGCTTTTAACTCAAGTCAGAGTTTACAGTGACACATGGGACTCAGTCCTTAATCGTATACACTCCTCTTCCATGTGCGCTTGTCATGCACTCTTGCAGTTTTTATATTGCACGGATGAACTCCTACCTCTGCATGTCACATGTGCGAGACAGACAAACAAAAGAAAAGGAGACAAGACTAAAAATAAAAAAAGAACTGGAGAGAAGACTGTCAGACGGAAAGGTAAACACAGCGAGACAAGTACTGACTTGCCAGGATGACCATGTCCATTCCCCAGAAGATGCTCATGATCCATCCAACCATGATAACAGCTGTCAGTATCTGAATGAGGGCTGCTGCCACGTTGAGCCAGAACACACAACAAACACCTCGCTCTGAGATCAGCTCGCTGCGAGCTCCACACAGCACCGTGAACGCTGAGATGAAAGTACCTGTGGGACACAAACAGCAAAAACATCCCGTTACCAAAAACGACACGGTTCATTAAAAGGTTTGTTTTTTAACAGTCCCGATGTGGTGCTTTGGTGTCAGTGCATTTGGCTCTGGTGATGTGTTTAGCTCAACATGATGCAAAGCCTTGGAAGGAGTTTTCCAGTCTGGTTTATTTCCCAATGAAGTTTACCAGACACCAGACTTTCCAATGAAATAAACCAGAAGAGATGTGTGCTTGCCTCTAATGAAAAACACAGCTCAGTCGCCAGAAGAAGGCATTGTACATTTCATACATGTCAGTGTTACTAAAGTGAGGTAGTATATGAGTTGAGTTTGTCATTGGGAGGATGGGATGTGCCATATCATCTCATTCACGATGATACTGGTATAATTTTTAATAACATATGGAAAATTCATATCGTGACACTCACAGTATTTATACTTGTTGACATTGACGCCATACTGTTACCCACGGCAACAACAAGCATGGCTGAAAGCGTAACTGTCACCGACTCTGCAGTGGTTCTAAAAAGAGGAGCAGCTTCAGTAGTGTGGAATAAACTGTGGCGTCCTCAGTGTTTTATGAACAGCCCCGGACTTCTTAGACTCTTGTAGTGACTTGCCGCTCAGAGGGAACTCATTCAGCGGCTCCTCTGGCAGCAGCACAGAGTCTCAACAAAAACTACACATATGTGAGTGTGCAATACTTATGGTATCATAACAGCCTGTTACAGGCTACAATGTGATGATTAGAGGAGAAATGGCAGAGCATAAAGGTCCAGAATATCAAGAATATCATCATCACAATAATACCCTGAAATATCATGATATTATTTTAGGGCCATATCGCCCACCCCTATTGGGAGGTGGAGGGGATGGCGGACAGCGCAACATCTAGGCGAGGCAACTGCCAAACTGCAGACCACAGTTTAAGACAAACAAACAACACAGATTGTTTTTTAGTGACCCTTCACTGCAGCTCCACCAGTGTGACTGATTAGAACGTCATTAGCTTTGGAGGCATTTGCATATAAAACCAAGTATTTATTGACCAGAGTTTTGTTGCTTTAAAACCATGAATATCTGGACCAGATGTCATTACAGTCTGTTCAATAGCTGTCAAGATATTTTACTAAAAAAATGTATTGTGAAAAGTCAGGGGTGACAACAGCAAAGTTCCATTAGCCAAAATAAAAGCATTGGAAACAGAAAAACACTCTCCACTGCCCAGAAGAAATAACAGGTTCACATTGTGGAGTGAAGCCATTTGACACAGCGATATCTCACACCGTCCACTCAGTGTCCCCGAGTAAATGTGTCAGTATTTAAGTGGCCGCCGTCGTGAGTATCTGGCCACGGCAGTAGTGGATCTATTCCTTGGGAAAGAGCACAGAAAAGTACACACGCACACATATCGCTGCTCACATCCACTTGGCTGAAAATGGGATTGTCTCTGTGGACAATCCTCGTATGCCTGATGAAATCCAATATTATTCCTTATCTTGTTATCTGGAGACCTGGACCTTCCCAGGCCCCGCTCATTGTGGAGTAAATGCATTGTGTGTGTGTGTGTGTGTGTGTGTGTGTGTGTTGTGTCACACAGAGACGTTTGTGTATCTCAGTTCACACCAATCAAATTATTTCATTACAGGATGTTTCCATGACAACCATGAATTTTACTCTGTGTATCACGGGTCTACCTCATGTTGACAGTGAAATATCAAGATTTACCTACTTAACTATCATTGTACCAGCCGGCAGCGTTTCGTTGGCGTCATTTCACATTGATTCTAGCTGTGAATGGGGCGACTGTGATGCAGTTGATGGGTGTGGTGCAGTGAGCACCACAAGCAGCCATTTAGTTCTGTTATGCTAGAGAGAAGGCAGATGTCTTTATGGCTGGTATCTCCAGCACTCTCCAATTAACACCAAAACAACCTAGATTGATAAATAGCATTACAAATGAAACCAGTCTTTCAGTGATTACAGGAACACAGATAATACTGCAAAAATATAAAGTTTTGGACACAATACAAACTGCACATTTAACAGTGAATCACCATCCAAAAATGATGGATTTTGGGAAATGTTCGCATTGCATGAAGTAGCATACCCTCGACTACTCTACATTTCCAATGTGCTACAGAATGTTTTAGATTTTGTCTCATTTATCATCAAAATGAACCCAGATCTGATTCCCAAAACGAAAAACACAGACGAGGACGAAGCTGAAGCTGAAACGTTACAGAAAAAAAGACAGTTTTGTGAGAAATGGAGGTTTGGTGATAACGGCTTTAAGGAGGCAGGCTACACTATGATGCTGAGGGTGCAGTAATGAGCTGTAATGTATGTCGGCAATATGCTAAAGAAAAAAAAAAAGTAACTTGTTTGTCATCGGTAAACGATGAAGCTGGAGAACATCCATGACTATGAACGCAGCAAGTGTCACATAGCCTGCTACGTTACTGTAAATTATTGTTATGTTTGCAGTACAAATGTTTGAAGTACAAAATGCAAATGGAATTTTGAGCTCAAAACTTGACAATATTAAACTAATTTTACTTCAAATTTCACTCTGGCCTCTCCTTTAAGCTTGTATTCAACACAATGCTGTATTATCTCAATGAAAAGTACTGAAACAAATGTATATGTGACAGAAAAAGGCAATTCATTATTTTAACTGGTAAAAAATATGCTTGGCCGGTGGATTTTTTTCATCTACCAGTCCTCTTGGCAGGCGAGCCAAAAAGTTAATTTTCAGCCCTGTTCCCACCCAATTGAGAGAATAAATATTGACATTGTATGTTTATGCAAACTACAGGTATGTAGCTTTTGTACATTATTACAGTATGTTGAAACTACATTTAAATAACACTGCAGGTAATGTGTGGTTAGGTTAAGGCACAGAACCATCATGTTTTGGCTCAAAACACCTGGTTTTGGTGGCACAATCATGGCTGGAAATGCGGCCAATGTCCTAAAAAACAACCGGTTTTGTTCTTTGTTGGTCTTAAACACTGGTCTGCAGCATGACATCTGTTGGGTATAGCTGTGACGCCCTCCACCATCCCCTCCTTCTCCCGACGAGGAAGTCAGCTCATAAACATGTAGTCTGAACTAAGTTGCTTTAGAAATGTTGATGTGATAAGTATGAAATGTACAAATGTCACAATTTGTTGTTTGCAGAAATGTACAATGCCACATTTACCTCTGGTGACTGGACTGCATTTACCAACAGCATTCTTAAATAACTTTACATCCATGGGGTTTGTATAATTGAGCATGTTTTTAACTCAAAGGGGGATCACACAGAAATGAGACGCGGATGCTTCAAAGACGCTTGAAACGCTGGTAGCGCTTATTCAATGCGCGCTAGCTACTGGCATCTGACGCTCAAAAAGTTGAAAATATTTTAACTTTTCAGCGTCTATGCGCGTCTAAAAAAAAGGCGTCTACAAAAACGTGCGTCTAAAAAGACGCCAGAAAAACGCCTGTCTAAAAAGACGCTTCAATGCTGGTCAGACGCGCCGTATCATAGGAAAACAATGGTTTTACTGGCGTCTCGTTTCTAGCATTTCATCTCGGTGTGATCGCTCCCTAACTCTGATTTGTGAGACATGCCAGTCATTGAATTCAGACTGAGTAAACAGCCTTGATGGAATTCTGCATTACAGAATTGTTATTGTTGATAAAGTGTCCCTTAACTGGCTTGTTAAGATAAGCTGAATCAAATAAAATATTAGAATGTCTTTTGGTTCCACTCAGAATATTACAGAACCTTTTTTTAGATTGTGTTTATTCACAAAGTCTCATTGAGTATAAACAGTCTTTTGCAGAACTGTCTGAATGTGAGGTGTTTTCTTAATGTTTGAGTCATAAAGGCAAAGGAATGTTTTGATTTATGCAAAAATCATAAATTATACACAGAGTCAGCTGATGTTTAGACCTGCTCTTGGCAGGCTTTTTGTACCCTTTTGCAAATACTGAATTGACTGCTGCGAACACTGAATGCCACACAAGAAATGCCTGGTGGGCGTTGTGTGCCTCATGGCCTTGGTCCCTCTCTTTCAGCTAGCTCCATTTCTTGTCACATTGGAGGAATTCAAATAACGGAACAAGCCGAGCAGGTGGGGGGAGGGAGGGACGAGAACGGCCCAGCTGCCAGCTGCATCTTGTTTCTCGGGAGCGAGTAAAGGCCAAAGTCGACTCATGTAGAAGTTTCTTATCACTTTTTTCTCTCTCAGTCTGTTTCTCTGGTTTTCTCTCTGTCTCCGTCTCTATTTATATCGCTCTCTTTCTCATTAATTGTAATCATACATTTTATTTGTATAGCGCTTTTACAGCTCTCAAAGACTATAAGTTATCAGGCAAGCTAAAACTGAGAGCTCTGTCAAAACAATTCTTTCTATAGAAACACAAACATACCAGATATACCCAGTTGGTCCCGTAATATCTGACAAATCTTTATGTGCACCATAATATTTACTTTCACATGCCCTACACTGGCCTTTTTTGGAATGGTCTCCAAAAAGTCAACTGTGGTACAAGCACAATCCCAGAATAGTAAGCAGCCCAGTAAAAAAGGAAGTGCAATGTTTACATGTGGACAAGGAAAGATGAATTGGACATTTACTTTTCCTTTCAGGCTTTTAACCGATGCTCATTTCAAAGCATCTCACAGAAAGAGCAACAGTGGGCTAAAATGAGATTCCACCCAACGCCGTTATGGTCTGATCAGACAGAAACATTTTCAGGGCGCAGAGGCCACGCCCACCAGCAGATGCTCTGGCTGCTGGTGGAGCTGCCCACCTCCACACATGGGCCATGATTGACAGCAAGCTGGTGGCTGAATGGTTACACATCACTTCCATCTTTGGCAGGATTTACACATTCTGGTATGTTTTTCAGATACCAGTCATGTGCACTGCGTTCACTCAACAGTAGTTTTCTCATCATAAATGTTGGAAGAAATTGGTATTTGCTGTACCTACAAACATGA